ATAAGATAATTAAATTAAACATTTCACACACGTAAGTCGATTTTAATCGCCGTCTCACTTCTTAAGGATATCCCTCAAGTTGCCTATGAATATTGGTTAAGTGGGGTGTATAAAGCAAGTCCCTCAAAAAGAAAATCATCAAAGTCCCTTATGGTTGCCTTTACGAATCGAGTCCCTTTCGAAAAATGATGATAGTCCCTCTAGTTTGCTTATTACACCCCACAATGGCCTTCAAAAATCCAATTGTCCCTCACATGTCCCTTAACATCCAAAGTAAGGACTACCTACTCCATTATAGTAGGGATAGTCTTACTAAAGGAAAGAATAAAGAATAAGAAAGACCTTTAAACATTAGGGTAGGCTACTCCTAGATACTTGCTCACTTCAAAACTTTTTCACACTTAAACAAATTTCCAACAAAATTTTCAAACAAGTTTTTTTCACATCCATACACGGATTATTATTTAACTATTCTGAAAATTTTCTATTCACACACTACACTTTCAACACAATTCAAAAGTGAGCTTAAGTACCTAAGAGCCCATGGATAACCATGGATGAAAAGGGTGCTAACACCTTCCCTTTTCATAACCTACCCCCCGGACCCAAAATATTCTCTAAGGTCTTTCCTGTTCTTTTATAACCTTTCCTTATGGATAAAATAAAAGTCGGTGGCGACTCTTGCTATCCGCAACATTGTTTAAAGTCAGTTCTCCCACCGTGTTACACTTGTAATATTGTCTGAGGTGGGCGATCAGTTGAAGGATCGGGGATGATATTGAGAAGAACATAGCGGCTTCATCAGAGTAAATGCGGCTTAAGGCATCGGCGACTTGGTTAGATTTGCCAGGTTTGTAAAAAATGTCAAAATCAAAGCCTTGTAATTTTGCCGCCCACTTTTGTTGTTCAGGTGTCTGAATAGTCTGAACTAACAAATTCTTCAAACTTTTTTGATCAGTGTAAATATGGAAGTGTCGACCGATCAAGTATTGGCGCCATTTCTTGACAGCTTCCGTGATGGCATACATTTCGCGGACATAGACGGAGGCAGCCTGAAGCCGGCTACACATCTTCTTGCTAAAAAAAGCCAAAGGGTGACCCTGCTGAGAAAGAACAGCACCAACAGCCACTGCCGAAGCATCAGTCTCCAAGATGAAGAGTTGAGAGAAATTTGGAAGACTTAGGATAGGAGTTGTAGTCATGTGTTGTTTTAATTTTGTAAATGCGGACTCCGCGGCTGTACTCCAATGTAACTTAGTGGAACGTAGCAAATCGGTGAGCGGAGCGGCGAGAGTGGCGTAATGACGAACAAATCGTCGATAAAAATCGGTGAGGCCCAGGAATCCTCTGAGAGCCGTGAGTGTTCGTGGCGTTGGCCAATCGAGAATAGCTTGGATTTTAGTTGGATCAGGGGTGACACCATCCCGTGAGATAATATGTCCTAAATAATCAACACTAGGAACAGAAAAAATGCACTTGGAGAACTTCGCATAAAATTGGTTAGCCAACAATAATTCTAGGATGAGTTTTAAATGAATAGCATGATCAGAAACACTGGAACTATAAATTAAAATATCATCAAAGAACACTAAAACAAACCGACGTAAATAAGGGCGAAGCAAGTCATTCATAGCCGACTGAAATGAACTTGGTGCATTTGTCAAGCCAAAAGGCATGACCAGAAACTCATAATGACCATCAAACGTCCTGAAAGCAGTTTTGTGAGTGTCATTCGGGTTAACCCGAATCTGGTGGTAACCTGAGCGTAAATCGATCTTAGAAAATATAGTGGCAGAACCCAACTCATCAAAGAGTTCATCAATTGTGGGTATTGGGAACCGGTCTTTAATAGTAACAGCATTCAAAGCACGATAGTCGACGCACAAACGCCATGAGCCGTCTTTCTTGCGAACTAGGAGAACGGGTGAGGAGTAAGGGCTGTTGCTAGGTTTAATGATTCCTTCGTGTAGCATATCTTTTATGATTGAGGTCATGATATCTTTTTGAGAATGAGGATATCGGTACGGCTTCACATTGACAGGGGGTTTGTTGGGGAGAATTGGGATGTGGTGGTCATGAGGCCTTGGGGGAGGTAGGCCGTGCGGCTGGTTGAAAATTGCTGCAAATGAGTGAAGTATAGTGGTGATTTGTTGGGGAAGCGAAGTAGGTAATGAATGGAGCGGATTGGCAGGTTCGAGGGAATTGGGCTCGGGTGGTGATTGATAAAGAAGTAAGTGGATAGAGGCGATGGAATCTGTCTGGAGAAGATGGCATATATGGTTATAAGAAGAGTGTAAGGGAGGGGATTTAGCGTCCCCTGTGATGGTGATTTCAGTTGTCTGGTGTGTAAAAGAGATTTTCGGGATAGAAAAATCTGCGATGAGTGGCCCGAGGGTGCGTAATCATTCCATGCCCAAAACGACGTCTGCGCCTTCAATGGGTATTAAATGGAAGGGGATAGTGAAAAGGTGGTCTTGTAGGGTGATAGGGACGTTTTGGCATAGTCCTGAGCATGATAGTTTAGAGCCATTTCCAACCATCACAGAGAAGTTGGGAATGGGGTTAATGGTTAAGCGTAGATGGTGGGCAATACGCGGCTGGAGAATGTTGTGGGTGCTGCCTGTGTCAATTAAAACTGACACCGGAAGTCCATGAATTTGTCCTTTAAATTTCAGAGTCTTTGGTGAAAACTGGCCATTTGCTGCTTGTGGGGATAGTTGAAAATATGTGTCGTCAATGGCCGGGGTAGGTGAAATGGGCTCAGGAATTGTGTTGGACTCCTCTACCGAGACAACATCGTCGTCTACCATTAGGAGCAAAAATTTTCCAGTGGAGCATTTATGTCCTGGAATGAATTTTTCATCGCAATTAAAACACAAGCCTTGTGCCCTGCGCTCTTGAAGTTGAGCGTTGGACAATCGTTTAATGGGTAGTTTGGTTGGTTGGAGCATGGTTGGGGATGTAAGAGGAGGTGTATTGTGGATTTGACTTGCTGGGGCAGGGGTAGGTTTTGGTAACGGAGGTGGAAAAGGTCTGTGGTATTTAGGTTTGGAGTCTTTGATTTTTGATTCAATTAACTTCGCGAGGCCAATCGCCTGCGAAATAGAAACTGGTTTGAGGATAGCAATCTCATTCTGAATTTCCGACTTTAAACCTGAAACGAAACAATTCAGGATAGCATCCTGCGGTAAGCCAATCACCTGCGTACCTAATTTTTCAAACGCAGCTTGATATTCCACAACTGTCCCAGTCTGTGTTAACTTAAATAGTTCTGCTTGATGATTAATATATGTGGATGGCCCAAAACGCAATTCCAAAGCTTTGGTAAAAGCAATCCAATCAGTTAAAAGATGACTTTGGTACATCCACTTGAACCAACATAAGGCTTCACCCTTCATATAAAAAGATATCATAGCAAGTCTATGTTCAGGTGGGAGTTGATAAAAATAAAAAAATTGGTCGGCTTGGAATAACCATTCCAAAGGGTTAGAGCCGTCAAACATGGATAATTCTAGTTTTGGGGTTCGGAATGGGGGTAGTGGTGTGGTTGAGTGGAGCGGGTAATAGTTTGGAGTATGAAATGCAGGGGCTGTATAGGTTGGTTGGAAGGGTAATGTAGTAGGGGAATTGTGGAGGGGTGGGGAAGAGGCAAAAAGTCTAGGTGGTGGAAGTGGTGTGGGTCGAAAAATGTTGCTGGACAGAGAGGGGTGTTGGATGGAGACTGAGTGTAATAGGGGGGATGAGATTGGTGGTGCGTGAGGGGAGGGTAGAGGCGTGGTAGTTTGGGAAAAATTAGGAGGAATGTGTGTGATACCTGAAGAGGAAGGTGTTGAACTTGAAGGAGGGATCCGTTGCTGTTGCTCCTTTTGAGTAATCAGTTTTTGCAGCAGAGCCATCATGTTGTCATAACGGGAATCATAGATTTGCTTTTCATTGTCCATTCGCGTGTGAAGTAGCTCCAGATCTGCAGAGTTTTTGTCGAATCTTTCATCGATTTGCTGCTGGGTTCGGTTTAACGCCAGATCAAGGTGAGTATGAGCAGTTTGGACAGCTTCATCAATAATGTCTTTAGGGTTGGGTGATTTGGGTTGGGGGGCCATGAATCCAAGGGATGAAAGCACCAATTTGATAAGAAGGTTTCCAACAATATATATTTCTAAGATCTAGGGTTACTAAATTGGGAGTAATTGAAGATGATAAAAATAAAATAACACTTTTCTCATTTCATATCCTTTGTTGTAGCCAAAAAGGTCTTTTAAATACAAAATAAGAGACTGGATGTTCTAGTGAATCCAATGGGCCTAGCCCAAATAACAGAACCCAAATTAAAAATTAAACATATAACTAACATAATTAATTATAAAAATCTTTCATCCACTTGGGCTGGTTCCTCTTTCTAATGGGCCTGCTATCAAAATTTCAACGAAAAAATTATGTAAAGTGATTTATCCTTTTCTCCAAAATTCAACTTCAAACAAAACTAATGTAAGTTTGTGTCCACGGCAAAACAGCCCCAAACGCACATTTGCCCAAAAGCTAGAATTTTCAGCTTTTGTAAATTCAAGGTAGAAGAAATGGCTTAGCGGAAGCAGCGGTGTTAAAAAGCATAGATTCTGCCGCTTTAACACCGTTTCAATTTCTTCATGTTTTAGAAACTTGCCGTTTCGGTTTCATAAAATACGCGCGTGGTGATATTCCGGATAGAGCGCGTGGAAACTAAAAATAATGATCCCAAAATAGTAAAAATGATCACTTCAGCTACCTAACGAAAATCAGAGTTAGGTTTTTTAAAATTTTAGAATTACAAGATTAAAATAAGCGGCTATGTGTTAATCTGATGGGATATTTTATTTATTTCGAGAAAGAATATTCAGTTATCTGTGTGATGAATGAATTAATTAATTCATAGTTGCACGCTATCATTCATTCTTATCTTGTTATTATTGCAGACTCTATCGTATTGGTCACGCATCTGAGTTATTTTCAATCTGAAATTATTCATGGCGGAACTGATAGTGCCTCGTTTGTACAGTTGCTGTAATTGTAGAAACCATGTTTCACTCCACGATGATATCATTTCCAAGGCTTTTCAGGTACGGACTAAAACCTTCTCTTTTCTTCTTGGATTTTTCAAGACAAGAAAACAATTGCAGCTTATGCTTTTCAATTGTAATTAAAGTTACTAACATGAGAAATCTATGATTCAATCAAAAAATGGTGCTAGACTCACTCGACCCCCCGTTTCTAAAGCTAAATATTTACATTTTTTGATTAGTTTTGAATCATTAGAAACACGTTGCTTTTTAATTTTTATTCTTTTCTCTTTATTACGGGAAAATAAGAGTTTATTACCTTGAGTGAAATACCCAAATACTAATGAGTTGAGTCTTAAGAACCACATCTAGGGGCGACGCATGAGAATAAATGGTGGGTGTCTCAATAGCAGAAACTTAATAGCAGGTAATCCAACGGATTTTAAACTGGACTCTGATACCATCTTAAGAATTGTGGTTGAACCTAACTCAACTTTATAAAACTAACTTGTAAAGTGAGAATTGCCCTCACTTATAAATATATGATCAGATCATATATTAGCTAAGACTCGTTCTTTTCAGATATAAGATAGTTTGTGTTTGTGGTTTAAGTGTTAGAGTGAGACTCTTTAACAATGAGCTTTTCAGATATAACATAGTTTGTGTTTGTGGTTTAAATGTTAGAGTGAGACTCTTAGGCTGATACGCCGCCTATAATATAATGCAGATATTGTGATATCCGCATATGATGCAAACAATCAATTAGTTTCGCAACCCTTTGTATTTAGGAGTTTGTCGCTTATGTTTTGTTGCAAATATCATAATTATGCAACTATATTTAGAATGAATGCACTGATATATGTATTATACTGAGAATCAATGAGCGATGTGACAAAGCAATTTTGATAGAGAATACTGGTGATAGTAGCAATTAGGTTGTTAACACCGAAAACACGTTTTCTGTCAAATATTTGCTAATTCAAAAAGTGACTCTCTGTGGCTGTAGATGTCTGTTGAGAGTGGGTGTAGGGATGATTTTAGATGCTTAGATATCATATTTGTGAGGACACTTTTGGTTGAAAAGCGACATTTTAAAAGTGGATGGAAGTCTATGACACTTTAACAGATGAAATATGTGATTATCAAAACAAACAAAAACAGGTGAGATATGTCGAGGAAAGGAGGTGACTAAGATCTTCAACTTTTAACAGTTTTTTTCTTAGATAAAAAATGGTTTTATTGACATAACAGCCAAATATCGCGACTGAAAATATTTCAACAGTTGCATGTTTGGTAGTCAAAAAAACATTCTCAAGGGATCATTGTTTGTTTTCGGATTTGAACTTCAAGTTTTCTCCAACTTAAAGTCTTCATTTGTTCTTATTTTTAGAACTTACTTTTCCGTGTTATGATTTTATCTCACACAAAAGCTTGCCTAGATAATTTACTGATATTCTTTTCATAAATTTTCCTACTAGGGAAAAAACGGGCGAGCCTTCCTGTTTTCCCATGCCATGAATGTTATCACTGGGCCAAAAGAAGACAGGCATCTCTTAACTGGCCTCCACACCGTTGCTGATGTTTACTGCGGTGATTGCCGTGAAGTTCTGGGTTGGAAATACGAAAGAGCTTATGATGCTTCTCAGAAGTACAAAGAAGGAAAATTCATCCTTGAAAAGTCAAAAATTGTTAAGGAGAACTGGTAGCGTTTTCCCCTTTGCCCTCAATCCATTCATTCCATTTGTGTTATTGATTTACTCATGCTTTAGAGTGCCATGTACAGGAAGTACTCCTCTTTATCTATGTTAAATTTTGTCATTGCTTATCCAACTTCATTATATTTCCTCATAACTAGAAGTAAAATTGTAATATAAATTGTTTGTTCAACTGTCTGATAGATCATTTACTGGTCTATGGATTTCAAGGCTGAAATCATCAAAGAACATGATGTCCTATTGGCTATCAAATTAAGCTAGTCATGCTAAAGAGGCTTGAACCGTAATAGTTTCGGTTGGGCCTCGAAAAGCTCAGCCCACCAATTATGTAGTCTGTACGTAACGCGGAAAGGACTTAGGTGCAAAAGGACGGTTTAGTTGAGTTGACGAGCACATGATCTCGTCCGATCCAATGCTCCTCAGTTATAGATTATAGTAAATCTAGTTTAAGCCACGAGTAACCAAATTTATCCCAAGTCATATAGATTAACTGTACTCTCTATTATGAGGATGACTCACTCCACTTGTAACTAAGTGCGCATGGCCAGATTTGCAGGCACCTGAATCGGTCTTATAAAAAATTCATGAATCAAGTAATCGAGTCTATAAATATCCTAGCTATTGACTCATTTATATATAGGAACACAAAGTTCTTTTAGGTATCTCATCGCAGACCGAATAATCTTATTGTAATCACCACAAGTACAAGGTCCTTTAAACTGGATGTGTATATACTGTATTTTATTAAAAGAATAATTTTCTATTTTTTAAATACAATTTAGTTTAACTAGTTTATCACAACCTTTTAAAAAAAGCATCTCATCTTTTTGCTTTGATTTTTTTAATTAAAACTTAAAAAAAATTAAATTTTTTAATAATTTTTCATAAGTTAGAGGAGTAACTTAATTAATGTATATTAATTGAGTTATAAGAGATATAAGATTCAATCTCTAAAAAATGCATTGTATAATTTAGAAGAGATACAATTAAGGTGTCCAACAAAATTTTACTTATTTTAAAAAGCATTCGAAATATATTTTGTTGAAAAATTATGTGATTTTATTCTATTACAATTTTGGAATAAATTAATTAATATTTAAACTATTAGATATTAAAAAAAAATATTTTTTAAATTTATAAATAAATAAATTTAAAGTTATTTATATAATTTTTTAAAAAGTCTTCATAAAAATCATTTTTTAAATAAATATAACATTTTAAAAAAATCAATACCAAAAGGGCCATATATGCCATGCAAACGCAACATCATTAAATTCATAAATGCTATTATTCATCCAATCAATACAATCTCAAAGATCACCAATATCAAAGAATGAATTTGAGAAGAATATGTTTTTTAAAAAAATAAATAAATAAATAAAGGGTCATATATTAAAAAAAAAAAAGAGATATAAAAGTGAGGTATTAGGCCAAAACTAAAATAATTGATAAATCTAAAAAAAGGCACACCAAACCTATTTTTTACAAAATTATTCCTTATATTTCTAGAGATGTAATAAAAAATGGTGAGGGAAGTAATTGTGAGGCTTATATTAGCAAAAACATTCGCACAACCATTTCCCTCTCTGTTAATATGTAATAAAATAAAAATCATATTAGTGATGGTGTTTATGCAAGTCTTCCATGATTTCCTTAACTGCCAAAGAATGATCTTATGAATGGTGAGAGCTTGGACTACTAGGATGGAATCCGTCTCAATCCAAACTTTGGACCACCTTTCTCTTTGGCAATAACAACTACTCTAATCATAACGCAAGTTTCAGCCTGAAGGGAGGAATGCCAAGAAAGGTTTTCAGCGAAGGCCAAAATAAGCTCCCCACTGGTATTTCAGAATATACCATCGCAGCCTACTCTGAGAGTGTCAGAGAGAAAGGCCCAGCCACAGTTGTACCTTATCCAACCAATGTTAGGGGATGTCTGAGAACTTCTTTTATTACTGGAGCCTTGAGAGGGTGCAAGTGAGCATTGAAGGAGTTAATAAGAGTGAAGTCTTGGATGAAGGAGTTATAAGTAGCTTTGCAGTGTTGTTTGTGAAGACAATTTGAGCAAGGATCTGTCTAATGGTGTGCTATACATTGGGAGCTATCTAATTGTACTTTTTCATATTCCTAGCAGTTTAGATGTTGCCAATAATGTAAATGACTGCAAATCTCAAAATCATATAGCACTGAGGCGAATAACCCGCATTGCAGTGATGAAGAAGATTTTCCATTTTTGTAAGCCTGGTGTTGAGATTGGTTTTCTTGTAGAGCTAGTTCTAAAGATGGAGAGAAAATTTACATGTGAAGAAAAGGTGAGAACTAGATTCAGAATGATTGTTGCAGATGCAGCATTGAGAGACCAAAGGGATACCTATGCAGATTAAGTGCTCATCAGTTGGTACTTTGTTGTTGATGAGTTTCCACACCAGAAGCGATTTCGAGGGCGGTATTTCTAAACACAACAAAAGCTTAGGCCAATTTGTTCTAATAGAAGGAGGAACTTTAAAAGTGTAGGCATCATACAGGCTGAGCAAACCAGATGAAGAGGTAGGCCACACCATATGATCTTTGTCATTTGTGCTTGTAAAATCACGGATTCTGTCAGACCTAAAAGGAAAAAGATGAGACCACTCAGTTAGAAAATTCCACATTCCATTATGCAGAAAATTTGATACTTTTGCATTGGTGTCCAAGCCTTTCAAATGAAGAAGGGTTGTAGTGGTTTCTTCAATTAAAAGGGAACCACAACCAGAATCTGTCCAAAATCCAATGCTTATGCCATGTCCAAGGATCCATCTGACTTTACTATTGAGAAAGTTAAATTCTCCTTTGATCCATTGCCATGCAGAGGAGAAAATATGATGTTTTATAATGCCAAAGTGTCTTATTGTTCTGGATTTGAGAATTGTGGCCTAAGATTCTTCTGATGTCAACATGTGCCAGCCTAATTTCAAATTTGTTGCTTCATTTAAAGAGATGAGAGACCTCAGCCCAAGACCTCCATTGGATATAAGAGTGAACATTATTTTTCCAAGCCACCACAACCATTTTCTTTTTGCTAACATCATTCCAAATGAAGTTACCAGCTGCTTTCTCAAAAGTCTTAAGGAGGTAGACCAGCCATAAGTAAACAATGTGGAATGAGTTAACATACCCTGAATGACTAACTTCACAAGCATTGTTCTCCCAGCCATCAAAAGTAAAGATCCTTTCCAACTGTCCATTTTAGCAATAATCCTCTCAGCTAAAGGTTTGAGCGTGAAAGCCTACACTCTACCCTTGAAAATAGGAACACCAAGTTTTCTTATTTTTATTGGAGTTTATTATTCCCCTTTTATGTCTCATTATATCACTTTTAAAAAAAAATCAGCCTTTATTAAAAAAAAGAAAAACAATATTAAAGATCACCGTAGAAACTAGAGTTTAGGAGAGAATGTCTAACCTCCTCATCTGTAACTGAATTTAATATATATATATATATATATATATATATATATATATATATATATATATATATATATATATATATATATATATATATATATATATATATATATATATATATATATATATATATATATATATATATATATATATATATATATATATATATATATATATATATATATATATATATATCACTTCTACAAAAAGTAGATACAACGACGCTACTATTACCACCGTCTTTCGAAGGATCGTGGTGATATCTCAAATTTCATGCGCCTATATAATTTTTAATTTATTACCACAGTTTTCTAAAACAACCATGGCGAAAATATCTGTCAACTTTGATAAAAAGTAGTATTTTTAATATATAAGCGAAAGTATCTGTCATTCAGTACATAACAACCGTTTCTCTCAAAAGAAAACCATAACATATTTCACTCTTCTCTTTCATAACATAACCCTGACATCCATGTCACTCTTTAAATATACTTCAACCTTCATATTCGTCTTCACCAATCACTACCTTGAGGTTCGTTCCTTAAACTTATGCTTCGATTTCATTTACGTTTCTTGTTAAAAATGGATTCTCATTTTTTCAGATTCATATTCACCACTTTAACAAAGCGCACACTTTGGCTATGGTACATATGGTTTGCGTTGCTATGAAAAAAAATACAAGAAGTATGAACCTACTGTGTAACTTCATTCACCTCGTATTTCTTTTTCATAGCATATAAACTAGATGAACTTCATAATTTGTTCTAGTTCCACGATTAGATTAAAAAAAGGTGCACTCTTGAAACATTTTATTATATCTTGTGTTGTTGATAATGTTCTCAGAACTTCATAATTTGTTGTTGTTATTGTTTATTATATCTTGCGTTCTTGAACCTTTTTATTTTTTTTATTTTGCTGTATGTTGTTGTATATTGTTGTTATTGTTGATTAATATTTTCAGAACAAGAACAAAACATTGCTAAGTCACAAGAAAGAGGTTTCTTGTGACTTAACAATATTTTTTTCTTTAAATTCTTATGCAGGTTGCACAATAGATAAAATTTAGTTTATTATATGCTATGTAGATTGTTTGTTTCACCAACCCTTCACTGAAAATACATGTCATTTAAATTAACATAGAAACTTATAATCCGAAAATTAAATTGTATTTGAAAACCAACATATATAAATCAATATTTTTTGAATTGCATTCGTCTCATCATTAATCTCACACACGCACGCACGCATGCACGCACGCGCACACACACACACACACACACACACACACACACACACACACACACACACACACACACACACACACACACACACACACACACACACACACTTATAGTTTAATTTGAATAACAACAATTAATTGGGTAAGTCTACCTCATCATCGTGATTGTTATGATGATAAGTCATCATAACAATTACGATAATAAGCGACGATGATGAGGTAGACTTAGCCAATAAATTGATGTTATTCAAATTAAACTAGAAAAGAAGGAATCACTGTCATGAAGGACTTAGACTATTGAACCA